ACGTGATTGTAATTGGCTTAGTTCTTTGTAAGTTAGGATCCTTATATAGCACCTAAATGGTGTTCAATAAAAAAGAAACAGAGAATTCAACAAATAAATGAGCAAAAGAATAAATATATAAGCCATTTAGTCTATCCCAATAAGCCTAAACCATAAAGATATGAAATGTGGAAAAGCCTTGCATGCTTCTTGATATATATTATGCTGTTAGAAGAAAATTAAAATAAAGAAAAATCCAAATGGGCAGATTGTTATGTTTTGTTTTGTTTTTAATTTAGGAGATGCCATTCACTGAGAATGAGACAGTAGAAATAGGGATATATGAAGAAACTAAGGAAAGATGCAAACAACCCAATCCAATTTATATAAAGAGCAAGGCGTATTAGTACTTACCTATTTGTTTCTCCCACAAGACTGTGACCCAGGGACCACTGGTTTGTTTACTGTCTACTTCTCAGGCATAGTAGACAAGGCCAAACACACTAGCAATTCAGTAGATATTTGTTGAATGAGTAGAAAGAGAGGCTTATTATTTTAAGATACCATGATAAATATGTATTTACTTTAAAATCCTACTTATAAATACGTGTTTTCATCAATCATGTATGAGAAAGCTTTAAAAAAGGACTTTTCTGAAGTCCTTTCGGTTCTTATACCAAATTATTTTCAAACCAACTGTAGCTATTAGAAGTCGCAAGTGTCTAGGTCATGACTCCATGGTAATTATTTGACTAGCCAACTTATCAAAGCTATCTGAAAGGCTGTTAACCCATTCTTGTTGAGAACCTAATGACATTACTGTTAAATAAATTTTTAAGAAATCTTATTTTACCGGTAAACAAATAACAAGCCAAACAGTCGTGATGCCACAGTTGCTTTCCAAAATAATTATGATGAGGGTCCCTGTGGTTCACAGTGTATAACACACCACTTCTGTGTTAATGAATTCAAGGGAAGTCAACGCCACTATTAGTAATAGCTTTTTATTCGGAGTCCTCATTTTCCAGATAGGTCACATTAAACACAGCCATTAAACAATAGCGTTGAGATAAATCCATACAATGTATGCTGCTTTTGTTGTTGTCCTTGTTCACCAATTGCTTGGTGCAGCTAAGAACCTTATGGAATGATGGGGCTGATACATGGGAATAGCCAACCTGCAAGACACTGGGGCCAGGAAAGTCAGACTTTAATCAGGTCTCATTCAATTATGTTTCAAATCAACACATCTTGATAGCCAAAACTCTCATTTGAATTAATGCTATGATAAATGCTGTCTGTTGTCAAAAGAATATAATTAGACAATAATGACTGGGCATATATTATGCCAGACCTCAGTCTACTTGTTGACCTCAGCAACTTCTACTCCATTAGGCAACAAACAACTTTTAACCTAGTTCTAATAAAGCATACTGCTCTATTACTACATGACTTTTTTTTATGGTGTTATTTTTTAAATTGAGCACTGCCTAGATCCTTTAAAGGGAAGTCATGTTTTACAAGATCTCAGGAAAATGAAACAAAGTCAATTTCCCAACCAGGAATTCAATTAATTCATGGAGTAGTGAGCCAATCCTTGTATATTACCTGAAATAAAGATAAGTATGTAAGGTTAAGAAATAATATGAAAGCATTCCTTAAAATTGCATGATATGTCTCTTTAATGTTTACTTTGGTATAGGTATAACTAACACTGCTTCTCACTACTTTTAACTTTGATGAAAAGATCTTTCCTTAACATTTAATGAAAAAAATTGTTGTGTAACTGATTATTTTTAGTTCACCAGTAAATGATTTTTAGAACTTTTTGACTTTCTTACAAAAATTTCTATAAATTCTTATTCTGTGCTTGACTTCAGTTATTGAAGGACCTAAAAGACAAAGTATTATCAAATTATTATTTTTTTTAATGTGTGGGGTTTTCTGAGGGGTTAGTATTTGGAGTATGCAAATTAAGACAATTTTTCCACATTCTGAATTATGCTGAAATCCCTTGAAATATCACTGTTTGATCATGCATTACCCCTCAGAGCAACTTGTTCCTTAGAGGGGGTGATTTTGGCATCTCATAGACTTCCTCGGAAGCCAAGCACCAGAGGTCTGTGATAAAGTCAGTCGCCAGCCAAATGAATAAAGGCGAGATTCCCTCAACTCAACTATAAAAGCTCGGAGTCTTGACTGCTGAATTACCACCAACTTGTAAATAAATAATCACTACTAAATACAGATAATGTGTTAAACAGCTAACGCTAGTAAATCACCGGCGACAGCCTAAAGGTAAATCCCTCACACATTGGCACAATCAATTCTTAAAATCTTATAGTGTTTTAATGTCTTCAGACACATATAGTAAATTGAACAACTGGTTACTCAGTGTTAAGAATGTTTTAAAAATAAAACCTACTCTCTTTGTTGATTTCATTTACATACTGCCTTAGATTGTATCTGTCTAGTCAGAGAGAGGCAACACTTGGTAAGACTCAATGGAAATTAGTTTTCCATCAAATTTCAGCTATCAAGCTAAATCAACCTGTAGTCTCCTGGCAAAAACAAACAAACAAACAAACAAAAACATCATATAACATAGACAACACATTTCAGATACATAAATTGTCCAAAATATAGAGTCGATTAGGTTTCATGTGTACAAGATCCCTTCTTTTCTAATTTAAACATCGATGAGTAATAAAAACCAAGAGTAGAGCTTTGGAAAGGCTGTTACTAGGAACCAAATAGATTCTCAAGAGAATAAGGCTGATGGGAGTTGTCCACTCTTCCCTTTCAAAGCAGTTTTGCAAACGAGGTACAGTCTAAAATCTTGACGGCATTTGACGGAAATATTTTCGGTTGAATTTTTTGAGGTTTAGAATTACAAAACAATTCTCAAAGTTCAATGTTTGTTTTTGCTTTTGCTTTTGTTTTTAATATAATGATTTTATGACATTTACGCTGTTTCTACACTGGCTTGGTGGACAGAAAAGAAGGCACAGAATTCTCCACCAGTTTGCAAATAACGCATTTTTCTGCTCCACTGCACAAACAGCCTTTATTTAACTCAGCACCACATTTTCTAAGGTATGGGCTGGAAACTGTTTGTCATGAAGCTGTAAAATGCCAAAAATTTTAAACGCTGAAGGAAAATGTCAATCAAGGCATTTTCCCATCTGCTGCTACTTCTGCAAGTGCTAATTTTGTTTTTCCCAATTCCTGAAATCTGAGGTTTCCTAGCCTCATACGGAAGTAAGTTTGAAACTTGCTAAATGTCACAAGAAAAGGTGTAACCAAATGAAGGAAGAGAAGGTGTATTGTTCTCAAAGGACACCAATAAAAAGAGGCAGAGGAGTACTGAGAAAAAGGAAAAACATTTTGTTAAGACCCAGACCTCTTGAAACACACTACACAATGCAAGGAACCAGTGCTGGTACCACACATGCATTAAAGCATTTCTCATGGTTTTGAAATATAATGGGACACACATCTTGAACCACTTAAGATACTTTTGAGAAACCAATCAACATTATGATATCTACATAGGCAGAAGCTGGATGTTATTGAAAAACGTGAACAAGTTTCAGGTATCGGTACAAATGTTTCTCTTGTGATTTAGCGTGACTTTAATAAAAGCTTCTACAAGGACTTGCACATAACCATGACTGATGGATGTCTTTTTTGACCTTTCAGTTAGCTCCATCAACTCACTCAAACACATTTTGAACAGATTATGTACTGTAGTACTTGGTAGACTATACATTAAACAAGAGACTCTGCTCTGAGGCACTGCTTCCCACACTCCATGGGGAAAAGGAAGCAGGAAAAAACAAAACTCATAGAGTTCGACAGCTACCAAGGCAACACTTGCCATTTACAATATAAGCCCAAATATTTTTGCAACACAACTATATATTAATTTAATAAAATACACAATATAGCTCTTATACACTCAACAATTTGGCTCATATGCACTGAATCTGCAATAAATCAATAAAAATATGTCATTTGATGTAAACACATTGAATCTTCTTACATTTGCACATTTAAATGGTCATGTGATTGGTGTATGTCTAAGACATTTTCACTTTCCTGAGCTATTTTAGTGTCCACAAATGAATAAAACATATTAATCATGTTAATTTCCTCTGCATATTATCATTCCATGGTAACTATTTTTCAGGTCAAATTTAAAACATATCCATCGTTATTTATATGTTTGTTGGACACTAAAACGCTGAAGAGGCATTTTGAACCTTTTCAAAATTTCTTCTCCTTTAATGAAGTGAATTAGTCTATGTGTGTGCAGGACAAAATGGACTATATCTTTTTACATTTAACTTTTGTACGACATGAAGTGTCTTACAAATAACCAAGTTGTTTTTTTTTTATTTTTTTCAACTAATGATATGGAATGTTCTTTATGTTTATATGTGTGGCAGGTAACTTTATACAGAAATGTTTACCACAAATATGTGTTAATGTTTGGTGTAGCTTGGACTACTGCAAGGTCTTTTCGGGACTTTATGTAGAAGCCTGTGATGACTGCTAGAAATCCACCACAAATCACAAATTATGACCCTGCTTCGTATGGGATTTATAGGTAAACAGTTACGTCAGCATAAATCACGGAGGACAGTCTTAGTGACCAGAAATACTTCAGTTCTCACACTGCATACCTTCCTAACAGATTGTCAAAAGGTAACTCGCCTCTCCTCCTCCTTTTGCTTCTTTTTTTTCTCTTCTCTCTCGCTCTCTCTTTTTTTTTTTTTTCTCTTTCAGAATCGTTAATTCTGTCCTAACAGAAGTTTGGTCAAAACAAAACCATTGTTATCTCTGAAAAAGAAACAGCGGTGAAAAGAACATACTTGTGGGCACTTCAGATGTTCACTAAAAGCCTTAAAGCAGCATTGGTCTTTCTTCATCCCTGTAAAATGGGTTGTCGCCAGGAGGGATCATTTTTCAATCAACAAAAGGGACAAGAAAATGCCAATGCTTTTTTTTTTTTTTTTTCATTTTCTCACAGCCACAGGGTCGTTTCCCCGGCAGTCCTGCAAAAGCTTATCAATTTCTCTCACGACTTCCTCCGCATCCACCGATTCTCTGCCCAGATCCCTGTTGGGGTGGTCAAGCTGCTCAAGAACAGCGCCCATCTCGCTGGAATCCCGGCTGGCTCTAGAATGCACATCTGCAAAGACCCTTGCCATCTGATCAGAAGCCATGAACGGAGGGTCTCTTGGTTGCTTATTGGGTGACAGATACTGACTGTCAGTGGGCAAGTATTGGCTGCTTGCTTCGGCCAGGGCTCCTGATTTTGCTTCGCAACCATCCAGAGAGCCTTTTGTTGAGGTGCAAGGCTCAATGCAAGCCTTGGTTGGGCTGCTTGATGCTGAGGGGACCTCTTGAAGGAGAGGGCTCAGGGCACGTTTGGCTTTTAAATAAGGTTTAACATTGGCAATGAGAATAGTGTGCTCTCGCTTGTCTTTTCCAAATGTACAAAAAGTCTTTTTCCCAGTGGGATTCACAGTTTCGTAAGTCTCAGTCTCAACGTTAGCTTCAACTGTGGGTACAAAGAGATTTGTGCGGTAATCTGCATTTTCAGCCTGATTGGCTGCAGGGAACTGTGGCATCCAACACCTGTCAGAATGACCAAGCACTCGGCATTCATCTGTGCAATTAACGCACTCTTCTGGTTCTGTAAAACAAAAAAGAAAACAGCAAATCCAATCGTTAGGGTTGCTTTTAAATTTCTACTGAGGCTGCGATCAGCTCTCAGTGGGCTTGTTTGACCTCTGGTCTCTTAATTAAAAAGGAAAAGAAAACAATAATTAAAACATTTCAGGATGGTTGCATAAACCTGCTGGTTGAGACAATGGTTTTATTTAAGTCTATTCTCTAGACATTAATGAATTCCCATAGCCTGGGAAGAAGTAAAAAGTGGCCATTGGAGAATCATTCTCAGTAGAATAGAACATCACTGTAAACTAATCTCCTGAGGATATCAGTTAGTCTTTGTTCTGTATAACCCGTCCTGGAAATAGTGAACTTCTAAAAGGATTACCAGGATTAATTTTTCAAATCAAATAACGGGGTAAAAACTAGACCGCGTACTTCCATAACAAGTCCTAAACTGCTGCTTTTTTTTAATGTTTTATCCCTATTTTGCTTGTAATTGTTATTTTGGTGACAGTCATGAAATAAAAGGTTTCCTTTAAAAGCCCACTTTTCCTACTGAGAGGAGCAAATGGAATTTTCTATCAGAATATGTTATGAATAAACTTGTCAAAAAGTGCACATTCCTATTTTATTAGATATGGGTATGGATCATGTAATCAGTTTTCTTCACTCCAGCTTTTTGTTTTTGGTGTAAGTAGGTGAAAATGGATTCAGTCAACAGATACAGTTCAGATGAATGACAACTCATGATTTCCTATTTTAAATGATAATGTTTTCTGTGAGAATGTTTGCTTCTGTCTTTTGCCAATAGGCATACAGAGAATCTAAATAAAGCATTCTTTAATGATCCTTATTTCAAAGATGCTGAACAGAAAATATGAAAGAAAATTCCTTCATTATGACAACAGCTGCATAATTCCACCATCCCAATATTTTAAACTATAACTTTGAACTACATCTTCCCACTTGTCCCTTTCATCTACAAATGATTGTTTCCCTTTATGTTTAATGGTTCTTCTTAAATCAGGGACTTTTTTTTTTCCGGGAGAGGATATTTACAATTTACCTCTGTGTGATGGGAATAGAATTCCCTACACATTTAGAAACCCTTGGGATAGCCATTTAATTGATGTGAGAGGATCCCTACAAATTCATAGTGTCCTGTGCAAGACCCCCCCCCAAAAAAATAGATGAGAGATTTAAAATAGAAAGCACTGAATTTAACAGCACTGGTAAATTTATATAGTTACTTTGTAAAGTCAGATATAAAATCTGAGTTCATATTTAAAACACATAAATAATTCCTTATCCAAAAAAGAAAAAAAAGTAAACCACAAGTTGATTTATCTCAGAAGGTTTTAGGATAAAAGAATTTCTTATGAGGTTAAAATTATTTTAGAAAGAAATCAGAATGGTGTCTTGACAGAACAAAAATACTGTGGTATTTCATACCATGTGTCATTCATATCTGTGAAATGTTAAAAATGTATTCAGGTAGCTCGCCTCTATTTTAATTTTGTCATGTTTTCAAAAAATATATTTACAATGAATGAAATATGTTAAGTTTATTATGTAATGCCCGTAAGAATGGTGAAAGGCAGTCTCAAACTGAACTCCAATATTCACACCCAGAGACACAAATATTATCTGTGCCTTGGAAGATTGTTAAGCAGATGGACATAAAGAGTGGCAGAAAAATCTAGAGATAGAAATTTTCTCAGAGGCCTTCCTGTATGGATTTAAGGTTGAGCAGACATTTAAAAAACAAACAGATATCAGAAAATTTTAATATCAGGTATTTGTTTTCTCTACCTATTCTGAATGGGAATCATCAATATAACCTCTACAACTGTATCAGTCTGTGTTAGAAAAGAAATATGTATCATTTCATTCAACCAATTTTATCCTCTAAAAATACAGTAGAAAACTTCACTATCTGTTTCATTTGATAATAATTTTGTGTCTTTTAAACTCATGACTTTTAAAAAACTTATTTACAACCCGTACACTCTCTTTGAAATATGGTAACATAGTTTTATATTCCAATATTGAAGGGGCCTTCAATTTCAGCAATTTAGGTAGCCTAGCACTGCATGAATTCAATATGAATTTAAGAAGAGAGTAAAAGAGATAGAATAATGCAGATGTATGAAAGTATAAATCGACCTTGAATTTGAAACCATCAACATGAAATGATTGTTTGCATTTCACAGCTGAAAATCTGCAGCTTTTTACTTGACTCCTTTATGTCACAACCTAGGGAGCAAATTCTGCGTATTGATTATGATACATTTTAAGCTGTTCACCTTCTGATTAGACTGTAATTTTGACGGTAGCAATTCCCAGGCAGTGAAGAAAATCTAATGGATACTTTTGTACAAGCAGCAGAAACTATGAGCAAAAAGTGAACTATTACTGCCAAGGGTCAAATAAGAATTTATGAGAAAGTGAAATTATTTCTAGAGGAACATAAATAAACAGATGAATAGATAGGTACAAAAAAGGGACATAGGTAGTATATAATGAATGACCATCCAGACATAAAAATAAACAAAATGAGAAACATAGAAGAAAAAAAAAGAGGGAAGAAGGAAAGCTAAGTGAAGGGGGGGTAGTTGTGCGGGAGGGTTTCTGTCGTGTGTACCTTCTATTATATATATTTAAGATCCCCTCAATAAACTAAGTATGTATCATAAAAATAATAGTGTGGAGTATTTTCTCAAGACCTAGAGCTACAAGGTAAATAATCAAACTTCTTCCTGTACCTTAGGCACAATGGACTCAGAATAGATATGTTGAATTATATGCCACAGAAATGAAAATGAAGCAAATTATATAGACAGCCGCTATTAACATAGATTAGGTATTTGTATCAGAAAACAAATTCAGAGACCCTGGATAGAAAAAATCAAGGTAAACATAATTGATCCAAGATTCACTTTTTTCTTTTGGACCAATCTGGGATTACAAAGAAATTATTTATGCCCATTTTCACCCTTCCCTCAATATAACTTGATTATTCTTTCACAGAATGCACCCTTTGCCAAAAAAGATGGCATAATCCAAATGGTATGCAGATGAGAAACTGAGAGATAAGCATGCTTACATTGCAAAGAGAAAACTATCCTGAAGGCCAACAGCTGGGACTCTGGGCAGTTCTGCCTATAGGGAAAGTTTACAGTGTCTCATATTTAAAATGTATGATTCCTTGAAGAATCATGTGACAATCTGATAAATTTAAATACTTGGTTAGTATTAAGAATTTTCTATACTCCCATTGCCATGTCTGACTATTATACAAGCTCTCAAAGAGAGGGAATTAACATAGTCATCTTAATTATTTTAATTTGTAATCTTAATTTATATATTTTTGTAAAAGACATAAAGTCACTCAAATGACTATAGTACTTGCAATTCAGCTGTATAATAAACCACACACACACACACACACACACAGATGTGTGTGTGTGTGTGTGTGTGTGTGTGTGTGTGTGTGTGGTAAAAAAATTAGCTTTCGGGCACCTGGGTGGCTCAGTCAATTGAGTGTCTGCCTTCAGTTCAGGTCATGATCCCAGGGTCCTAGGATGAAGCCCCACATCTGGCTGAGAGCCTGCTTCTCCCTCTCCCACTCCCCCTACTTGTGCTCTCTCTCTCTCTGTCTGTCAAATAAATAAAATCTTAAAAAAATTTTTGAGCTTTCACCAGGACATAGTCCAAACAAAATTTTAAAACTCAGATGTATAACCAATGCATTCCTGAAAATTTACTATTAGTAATTGTCATAAAAGAAATACAGATGAATCAATAAAATGCAAAGGAAAGTTCTATATTCATAGTTTAGGAGATAACATAAGTACATATAAAACACACACACACATATATATATACACATTTTATATATAGAACATTACATATATAATGTACATATATAGGTATAAGTCTTTTTATTTCAAATATCAAATGACATTTTAATCTTTCCCTTTGCCCTACTGTAGGTATGAAATCCATGACTGGATCAACAACTTGACTACCCCTGCTTTAGAATTTTATGTAATTCAAATTGATTTAGACATAAAGATGTCTGAAATCTGCATATTCATATTTGCTGACATATCTGAAAGCTCTCTCTTTTTAACCTAGACTAAGCAGTTTAATAACTTAATCTTAATGATATTAAGCAAGCAATCGTTTGGTGCCAAAATACACCTTCAAAGGAACTGTCATTGTGGAAGTTACATCTCTGTGAGGAAAGAAAATATTTAGGTAAAACATCAAACTACCTACCCTTACATTATTGGGTTTTAACAATCTTCCACAAAGGTGTCCATAACTTAATGTTTACAATGTGATTTTCACCTTGTAATGTCACTGTATCATTAGGGGTGCATAGCCATCTCAATAATGGGTAAAAGGTGCCAAAGATTACTATGTATAAGATTAAAATTTGCAGCCAAAGCACTATTTAAACCAGCAAAGACTAATAAAGATTAAGGGAGCCTTAGCTAAACATGATCATTTTGGGAAAAGTCAGGGGAAACAATCCTTGTGTGTTATGATTCAGTGGTCACTGCAAAGAGAACATGTCAAGGAGCCAGTCCCCATAAAATTTCTTAGTTCAGAGTAAATCTACCTATTTATTCTAGTTTCTCTCACTCTCAGGCAGGAATTTATCACAAATCAGAAATTAAGCTTATTTTCCCTGTCTTCAAAGCACCATACCACACTACTCAAAGAGAGATACTTGGCAACTAATTTGTTACTACTTATGGGAGATATTAGGAAACATAAAAGGATTTCCTCCCTCTAGTTTCAACTTGCTTGCTGCCTCTGGAGCCCACATATTTGTACAAAAACATGCATATAGTTTCTAGCATAAGAGTTTCGCATATGCATCTGATTTAATTTTTTATAATGAAGCAATAAATGTCTGTGTCATAGAAATCTGAAAACCAAAATCCACAAGTCAGGGCATCAGTGAGGAGGTTCTAAAATGCTGTGGTTATGGGGGAAGGGGATTTG